TTTAATCTATGCTGCACGTAAGCTATTGGACATTTACGACTGCATTTGGCTTAGTTTTCTCTCTTCGTATTTTATTTCTTGATTTTTTTTTGTGTATGCTTCCATAGCGGTTGACACTGAGAGTATATAAGGGCAATGGGATAAGGAAATTCCCTTTAAAATTTGCCATGAATCAAACTCCAGCTGCCCGCGTAGCTGTGATAAACCAGCATGTGATCTTTGCAAAATTCTAGTTTAGCCTAAAATAATATTGATACTGGTAATGACAACGATAATGATAAGGGCATACAAATGCTAATAACTTAAAAAAAAAAAAAAAAAAAAACAGAAAAATATTTATATAGTTAACATAAGGCTTAACATAATTGTTTTTGAAAGCAAGGAAAAGTGTATGACAGTGCTTATCAATTGACTGACGGCGCGCATACTTTTTAGCTTTACTGTGATCGATTCACAGTGTATGTTAGTTGTGTGTGTGTATGTGTGTGTTTGCCATAACTCAGTTATTTGCCCTCATATTTGCACAAAATATTTTATTTATAACTGAAAGTCACATGCGCAACTGTCAGCTAACATGCCAACAAACAATAAGAATAATATTGTTGTGACAGTTGTTATTGTTGTTTCTATCATTGTTGTTGTTGTCTTTGTTATTGCTGCTATTAACCAGCTGATTCGATCAATAGAATAAGAATGAGCACACGCATGTTTTACCGTCTTTGCTCCACGCAATCGGCTTCGTCGTGGATTATGCAATTGCTCAGAGTATTGCATTAAATTCTCAGTTATGTGTCACTCAAAACGAGTTTTGTTTTTTGCTGTTGAAATCCATTTAGAGAACGCTTTTTTTTTTGCAGCGGATAACAGTTATCAGGGCCTGTGTTGGGTATTTTGAGAGACGGAAACAAACATCTGCACTTTTGCATGTGAATAATTAATGTACAGCGTTAGGTATACCCTCTACTCGAGCAAATTAATGATAATCGGGTAATAAACGCTGACTACTAAAACTGGACATTAATATAAGGGTTTTAGTGCTCGCTAATGTTTAGTCCCTCTCCCTTTCTCTCTTTGTGAAAAAGCTGTGTAAAGCTGATATCATAAGCACGTGAATCGACTTTTCAAATTTAAAGTGTTTGCCAATGCGCTTGAGCGTCGAGAGTCCTCCTACTTTGTCCAAAGCAAATATAGGGGCCAATGCGTTAAATTTAAGGTCAGCAGCAGCAGCAGCAGCAGCAGCAGCAGCAGCAGCAGCAGCAGCTGGTCTTCAAGAAATACGAAAGAGTTTTTGGAGAAATGGGATAATCAATAATTTTTTATATTATATAAAATATTTGCATATGCTATGGCACTAAGATTGCTTTTTCTTTTTCATGTAAAGTGAATATTAATAATAATAATACTGTTGTTGTAGGAAAAAGTAAAGCTGTAGGGGGAAAGATAACAAAGCTGCTGAGCGTTTGGAGACAATGTTTGAACAGACAGACAAAGGCAATAAATATAAGTCACAAGTAGTGAGAGCATACATATGTTTTCTTCTGTGTTTGGGTACATAAAGTTGAAGAGCTGAAAAACTTAAGAGAGCTTATTAGATGAGTAATTGTTTGCAGGCAAACAAAGAGACTTAATTGAAGTCATAAGTTGGAAGCGCAGCCGGATACTATAATACATAGCTTTACTTCTGTGTTAGGATAAAGGAGCTGCTAAGCTTAAGTAAGTAAATTTTAACTGCCATTTGCCATAAATTATAAAAACATTTCGTAAAATTTATATATATGCATAAATAATAATAAATAATGTCAGATTTAGGCAAGTGGAAATAAGTGGAAATTATATAATTGATAAACATCTGCTGTGGTTGATATATGCATAGTTACACAATACAATAGTTAGTCAATACTTAGTCAATAGTTAGTTAATAATAGCAGTTGACGGGCCAATTAAAAAAAATTAGCTGAAATTTGGCTGCAGTTTGGTAATTTGAAAATTGCAAATCATTGTTTACGAGTATAAATCAATTTAAAATAATATGTGTAATAGATAAATAGTTAAAGCAATATGTTTTTTTTTTTTGCACTTTTAATTGAATTGACACCATTCAATTAGTCAGAGTTTGAATTTATTGCAAACATTTATTTAGTTGACGTTCGATTTAATTTTTTAACGAAATAACAGGTCGAATGGGTGGCTCTATGTTTAATCAAAGTGTCAAAGTTAAATAAAATAAATATTGACTAAAGTATTCAAACAGGCACGCGGACAGCAGAGAAGAGGACGGCAGGGGTGGATGGGAGACTCATTTGTCTATTGCGTTGAGCCGTTAATCTGGCGCTTTAGATAATGACAATGATTTGCCAAAGATATATATA